GGGGCCGACCATACAGTCACTCTGGCAGCTAATAACAAACAACTGTGTTTGCTCTTCATCAACAGCATGGTTTCGAGAACTTCGGGGCTCAGCCTTAAACTGGGTGCATTCCGCTACTCAAATAATTATTATTCTCTCCACATAATTATCTATAACTGAACAAAGAGAGGGCTTACATTCTTGAGAGGCAAATTTTCATACTTGCACAATAGTATTGGATTCGAATTGGTTCACAACATGTTTCTATAGCATGAAAAGTTTGAGATTCTCATACGTCCTGCTGATAGAGTAGGATAAACATACTCTTGGAATGGTGCCGCGTACTTTTAACTGGTAAAATGTGGGAGTTGCTCAGATACAGACTTGCAGATTGCCGCATGGGATGCTCATGTACTCCAGCTATTACTTTTTGGCATGTGTAAGTGTATGGTTAATTGTTTGTGTCATAAGCTACACACGGTGAGGTTACTACAAAGCTAGCATTCATGAGGGTATATAGTGTCAGTATGTGAACCACAATGCTACATACATTGCATCACATGCTCAAGGCTATCCCGTATATTTTAGGGCTGCATGCATGGTAGAGCTTAGTGCTTAGAGTGGGTGGTCTTCTCGTTCACAGAACATAATATATATCTCCAAGCAATAATTTATTTTTAGGACATGGCAGTTAGACCAAGAAATGCAATGAACCGTCCCAAAAACCTGATGTAGTTATGTAGACAACAACAAAACCCGCAAGAACTTTTCTTTAAAAAAATGTTAGTAAACAGGCCTCAGGCCAATTATTATAAGGTAGACTTTTGTAGGGGGCTAGCCCTCCTGGGATATAGCTAATACCGTAAGAGGAGACAGAGAAAAGGCAAAAAATTTTATAGCAGAATAGTAATAAATAAAGAGAGAAAAGACATCACACTGTGAAGGATCGCGAGAGGGTTTTGCGCGCATCGCTGCGACAATCGACATGGAGAGCTTCCTCACGATCTCATCATAGTTCACACACCAGTCATTCGATGATCACTAGCTACAGCCTAGCTCTTTTATACAAAAACATAACAGGATGAACGTGGGAAGTGACAGACTACACTTTACCCAGAAAGAGGAAGGAAGGGTAGGAATGATACAAAACAGGGAAATGATGTAAAACCCACAAATATGAAATCAGAGAGACTGTGGAGACATCCAGTCTCTCACACACACAATCCCTTTATTATTGTGGTGCATTCAACATTATGCTTTTGCAGTTTGTATTATTAATTACATTGCAAGAATGTTTATTTCAGCACTCCCACATATATTAATGTAACTCAGATGCTCTGTGAGAATGCAAGAGCGTCCGACAAATGACGTCACAGATGGCAGGTCTTGGTGGTGCCCACAATGTAAAGGCAGGAAATCAATACGTCATGGCAGTTTCTTCACCAAGTCGCGGCTTCCACTGAAGAAGTGGCTTCTTTTGATGCACTTTTGGCTGCGCCAGTTCTCTGTAACCACTGCTGCACTTGATGCAGATATTAGTAAAAGTACAGCCATTGATGTCTATCAGTGGTTTCGGGAAGTGTGCACAACCACCCTCCTCAACACTCCGATAGTGCTTGGGGGAAATGGTGTTATAGTAGAAATAGATGAATCCCTATTTCGCCATAAACCGTGAGTTGTTATTTTTGGCACATACTTTGAGCAATGTCATTTGGCATTTGCAGCACCATCGTGGACGTCCTCCTCACCATCAAATATGGGTATTTGGAATGGTAGATACATCCGAAGAACCAGGTCTTGGGTATATGGAGGTTGTTCCATCGCGTGATGCCAACACTCTTCTCCCCATTATCCAAGCCCACACAGCCCCAGGAACAACCATACACTCGGATCAGTGGCGAGCATACAGCAATGTCATTACTCTTCCAGCAGTGCATGGTCATGGTGTGGTCAATCACTCTCTACATTTTGTGGACCCGGTAACAGGGGTCCACACTCAGACGGTGGAGAGTTATTGGAACAGGGTAAAGACTAAACTAAAAAGGATGAAAGGTGTCCATGGAAATCAATTACCCAGTCATTTGGATGAATTTATGTGGAGGGAGAGGTTCGGGAAGACAGGAAATGATGCCCTGCAAAATATCATGGCCAATATAGCTACACAGTACTCCGTTTGACCAACAAAGCCCACTCACCTCATCATTATATCCCTTGAATTACCAGTTTTTCACGTTGATTATATCTTGCACAGCTCGCTTTTCATCGCCGTCACCAACTTACAAAACTACGCTATACTACGCCCACGATTACGTTTTGCGTCGCGCGATAGCGCCAGAGTCACGTATGGCCACACCCCTTTCATTTAGTACGCGGTGCCGTTCTTTATACTTGATCCCTTACACAGCAAAATCTATCAGGGGTTGCCTCCTGGACCGGCACAGGAAAACCCCAAGGAGACTAGGATTGAGATAGATAGAGGTCTGTACACTCAACGTCTCAATCTTTACCGTTCCGCTAGGGGCTCACGCCCCCGGCGTGCACGGGCGAGTATTCCGGCAACAGCCTCCTGCATTTAGAAGAGGAGTAACCAGGGGAGACTAATATCTAGATACCCAACAGTCTTACGTTCACGAAGGCTCTTCCACTCCCGGAGAGATCGAGTCTTCTTCCTTCTCTCTGCATGGAAAGATTCAAACTCAGACTGGCAAAAATCGAAAGATATTTTTTGCGCATGCGCGTAAGACTAGGCGGTAAGGCGGTTCAGCCAGAGAGACGGGCTGATTCTTGACTCCTAGTGCTGGTGAGTTGGTGAGTTTTGGTCTCTGTATCGTAAATCCCGGCGAAGAGGTTTGGTTGCTCCCTATAGAAATGCCTTGCAGGTTTGATTGTAGGGAGGGATGTGTCTGTCCATTCGTTTATATATTTCCCTCACTGTCTGTCTGGTATTTTGGGCTATGTGCCCATACGGCTGTCAGTCTGATATGTTGGGCTTTGTGGCTGTACGGCTGTCAGTCTGATATGTTGGGCTTTGTGGCCGTGCGGCTGTCAGTCTGATATGTTGGGCTTTGTGGCCGTACGGCCGTCAGTCTGATATGTTAGGCTTTGTGGCCGTACGGCCGTCAGTCTGATATGTTGGGCATTGTGGCCGTGCGGCTGTCAGTCTGATATGTTGGGCTTTGTGGCTGTATGGCTGTCAGTCTGATATGTTGGGCTTTGTGGCCGTACGGCCGTCAGTCTGATATGTTGGGCTTTGTGGCCGTGCGGCTGTCAGTCTGATATGTTGGGCTTTGTGGCCGTGCGGCTGTCAGTCTTGTATGTTGGGCTTATGTGGCTGTATGGTTGTAGTGTTCACAATATTTACTCTTATGCTTTGTTGCTCATTGTGCTATCCTCTATTACATGTTTTTGAGGACGACCAAGCATGGAGATGAAGAGAAAGAAGCGCAAAAGACAGAAGAGATAACGAAAAACAAGAAGAGTTGAAATACATGGGTTGTGTTAAAGCATAGTGATGTCTCATTAGATCGGCAATGGGAACATCTCACAATGCTGACAATATATGTAGTGTGTGATGTGTGTGACTGTTGCATTTATCATGACATCATTTGATTCGTTGTATAGTGCACCTATCAGCAACAAAGGAAATACTTCAAATTTCCAGTGAATATCATGTCTAGGATATAGACACCCACCTATCCCTGTGCCATCATGCTATGTGAAACTACAGCTATCCATACCAAAGGAAATACTAGAGTTTAGTTCAACTGACTACTACCTATCAACTGCTGGTCAGAACTAACAAACTACAGCTATCCATACCAAAGGAAATACTAGAGTTTAGTTCAACTGACTACTACCTATCAACTGCTGGTCAGAACTAACAAACTACAGCTATCCATACCAAAGGAAATACTACAGTTTAGTTCAACTGACCACTACCTATCAACTGCTGGTCGGATACTACCGAACTATCCTTATACAATTATGCACCTATGATCAGATAGGATAGTTGCAAATTTGTCCAGTGATATGGGTTAGGCACTACTAAGCTGTAAGTGTAAGTTTCGTTGACCCTCACACAGCGTTCTACATCACCAACCATGGTGGTTTAAGCACACTTTCACAGTTAGCATGACTGACAGAAAAAACAGGTTAGAACTACACAAACTTTTGGTTCAAAACGCTATACAACTCTTCTAACTTGATGTTTGGGTTAAAGCTACCAAATAATTTTACAGGTTATAATAGTAGCGCTATCCTGAGGTCATTTTAACGTATTTCAGTAGTAATGAAAAGCACTAAAGTGCAAACCCTAGGCGAACTGCGCATGCGCACTACCACTAATGGATGGCTTGGGGCGCGGTCTCCCGCTAGTAGCTTACGAATAGTCTGACACTGGCTAGCTACAGTAGTAGATAGCATGCAGTATGCGGTGTGATACACACCCTTCGATGTGGCTTCTTGTGCCTCCAAGGTACACAGAGCAAGCGGATCTGGTCGAGGTGAGCCAGTTACGTCTAATACACGCATGCGCATTGGGTTGGGCCACGCAACGCTGTCCGCGACTGTGTCGGTTCTTCTCTCTCGAACGCAGTCATTTCAGCAAAATCGCCATTTTAGTTTTCTAGCCCATGGTATCGCCCATAAGCCGCATCGTAGCCTGCAGTGCGAGAATAGCCGTAGACAGACAGACACACAGAACGACTACCGTAACCCTCGCTGCGCATGCGCGCCGAGGGTTAATGAAGTGAAAACCCTCGGCGAATTGTGCACGCGCGATACTGCTAATTGATGGGCTTGGCCGGCTTTTCGCTAGTAGCCCGCGGAGAGTCAGACACGGGCTAGCTACAGTACTAGATTATGATAGCATGCAGGAGTCGATACATGCCATTCGTTGTGACTTCCTGAGCCCCCAAGGTACACAGAGCGAACGGATCAGGTCGCGGTAAGCCCAGTGCGATTTGGCTTTTTCGCTGCGAACGAAGATGTTTCAGGAAAATCGCCTACTACTTTTTCAGGCTCCCGTAGTTCTGAATCCGCTGGTATCGCTACTGGGCCGCCTCGTAGCCTGTAGTGCCAGAATAAGCGTCGACTCACAGACAGACAGACAGACTGACAGAACGACTACCGTCCTTTAAAATGTTCATGAGCTCCAGAGGAGATATATTATAGACATAGAGGGGAACATGACGAGAAGCTAAGAAATTTCTAATAAATGCACAGGAAAGGATCTTGGATTGATTGTATCAACCAACTTACGGTGGCGACCGCATTATCAGCTGATCACATCCAAAGCTTACAAAATGCTAGGTCTGCTTCGCAAACTCCATGTCCGTATTCGCTAAACGCTACCTGTATACATCCCTTGTACGCTCTCAGTTGCTCTATTGTTCGGTCATTTGGCATCCACACTTGTTGATGGATATAAAGTGTCTGGAACTCGTTCAAAGAAGAGCAACAAAATTTGTCATGAAGGGTACTGCAATGGATTATAAAAATCGTCTGATGTATTTACATCTCTTACCGCTAATGATGGAGTTAGCTAAAATTGCTGATATTATCTTTCTCATCAAGTCCCTAAAATTCCCCTCCGAACACTTCAATATACTCAATTATGTCAAATTTTGTGACAACCCTACACGCTCATCCTCTCATTTCAAGCTAAGGCACTCCTTTTGTAAAAACCAGTCTGAGAGAAATTTTTTACTTCAATCGTATTCCCCGCCTTTGGAATTCTCTACCATCATTTGACATTAATCTCCCTATTGCTACCGTCAAGTCTAGACTGCGAAACTTCTTTTGGATTCATTTCATCTCACACTTTGATTCTGATAATGTATGCTCCTATCACTATGTCTGTCCATGCCAAAAATGCTCTAAGCTTCCCATCTCAATGCATTTCACTAGTTTTATCTAAATGTTGTCCATGTTATGTCCTATTCTGTGTAATTTTATTTTTATTTTTATGGCTGCTGGCTTGATGCCTTCAGTCCTTCAACACAGTTGTCACCACCTCCCATGTTATCTGTCACACCTCTTTATGGCATTACCTCCTACCTGTGTTGTAAAGCTGAAATAATATACATACACATTTAGGTGGGGGGGTATGGATGAAGGCGGCAATCTTCTCCCTTATAGATGGGGAGGTAGCTAGATACAAGGATATCAGTTATTTCCTCCACAGATCCCAAATGCAGTTTTTGGTGGGTCTGTACCAGATGTTCCAGGTAAGTTCGATCTTGTTCGATTGATAGATTACAGTGTGGACAGAGTCTGTCGCCGAATAATGGCCGAGAGAGAGCTTTGAAAGGACAAAGCGGCCTTTGTCCCTCTTGCCCCATGATCTAGAGCCATATCCCATATCTTGAGCCATGACAGCTCGGGAATAGCGGCGATGTGTTTAAGGGACTGATGGCTGCGAAAATCCCTTAGTCGGAACTCTTTGTCGGCGGTGAGGACTCTCTTCTGCAAATCCCTTTGGGAGACTGTTGTGGTACTGTGAAGTTTGTGCGATACACCCCTTCCAGGTAACGACATTGCTCAACAATTGTCAGTTTTGAGACATCTCAAAAACTTGAATGTCAGTGAGCTTAGCTTATCTTCATCCGCCGTGACAACCCTCTTCAGATAGTTCAACTTTCTGATGAGCACCCTAGCTCTCATACTTGGCCAATCCAGTCCAATTAATACACTTGTGTTTGAGTGAAAACGGGACAGTCTAAGAATCCTCTTGCCAAGGGTACACTGAAAGTTCTCCAACTTTTCGAGGAAAGCAGTCAAATACCAGCTCTCTGAACCAAACAGTAGCACAGGCATCATGCATGTGTCCACAACAGATCGAGACGAAAGAGGGTTCAGTTCACCTTGAACTACTCCTATGCAACCAAATGAGAAGAATGCCTTTTGGACCTTGGAGATGTTTTCCGTGATGGATCATGGACTCAAGTCGAGGTCAACAAGTACCTAGACATTTAGAGGCAGTTGTTGGCTTCAAGGTTGCAGAACCCACTTCAAGTTGGACATTCTTTGGGACACTTCCACTCCACGCTCAATTAGAAAACCTTGCGATAGGCAGCTGTTTACCTTCACGTGACCCTTCGCCTATCATAAAAACTCTGCAATTCTCCAGCA